GGGGGGGGGGGGCACTTTCGTTGTTTCTCTGGTTCCGGTTTATAGTCTGACTCTGATGAAACTGTGAACTCTTGTGAAGATGGAGCAAGGGCGTCAGGCCATCAAGGTACCCCTGGCAACTCGATAAGGGGCTTTCCTAATGGGTCGACACGTCGATGGGAAGTAGCAAAATGCAAAATGCCCTCCGCTCCCCCGTCGCCGTTTTTTTGTGTGGTCTTGTCTTTATCCTCCGAAGAACAAGGTCTACTGCCGAAGACTATGCTCACAAGGGGTTTTCGTTATTTTACAGAATCCCTTAGTTCGATGGGTTCCGGCACACGAATGAACTTTTATTCTTCTCGAACTCGAATATTTCAGGTATTTCAAATCCAATTTGGACATAAAGTTTATGTTCATACCACAAATGATATTCTTGGCTAGCATATTTATGTATCTGTGTCTGGAGATCGTTGTCAAATGGATTTACTTTACTGCGGGGGTAAGTTTATTTCTTAGAAACATTTGCGTCCATCTGTAAACATCCAAACGTTTTTACAACCAAGACTACTGAATAGCTAACAGCTGATCGCTTTCCATTTGGCATGTCCTGAAGCACTTCAGTTTGCATAAAACCATGTGCGAATGAAATCGTTAAAGTAACTGTTCACTCCTTTTAGCCGCAAGAATCTATCCTTGGCTATAAGTATCCTGGTTCGAATTGTGCACCATCGCTGCTAATCGGCCTTATCAACATGTTTATGTTCAAATCACTACCCTCTGGTTTCGTAGACGAAGAAGGACATCAGAAGTTCCAGTGTCATCTCAACTACTGGTACCCTGGACAGGTACTACTCGTATTCGCTTATATTTGGGGTATACAATGTTCGAAAAGCTCCAAAATTTCCACAGTACAGCCTCGAAGGGCCTCTTAGCAAGCTTTGATCGTAGAAATTTTCTACTTGCTGTTGTAGAATGGTTCCTTGGCTGTAGAACTCAACCTCCAATACTAGGCACCAAGGGGGTACTTCAGGTGGATTTCACAGAAAGGTGCCAGGATCAGGGGTGAGCAAAAATATCGACATGGTTTTAGTGTCCCATGTTTGTTCAGTATTCCATTAAAATTCGTACTTGAAATCAATATGGAAGCAAATTAGTTGTTCCAGAAATTTTTTTGTTAACGACGCGAAATGGGAGGTCGAAGTGCCGGTCTGAGATGACACCCATCCTGACTGGTCTGCTTTTGGGCGGTATTCACAACCTGGACCTTCCTGAACGGGAATACGAGCGTTTTCACGGAACATACCTCGCATTAAAAACTATTTTCAGGACGTAAAACAGCTTCGGGTGTGAGACTAATTGCATTTTCATTACAACCGAATTGCAGACAT